GAGGCAGACGGCGCTGGCGCAAGGGTGGGGACTCCCTGGTAGTGTTGCCAACCTCCAGGTAGTGGCTGGGGATCTCCCGCTGTTACAACTGACTTACGTTGGTCCCCTCCTCAGCCCCCACCTTCCTCAGGCTCCACTCCCAACCCGGAGCTGGCAACCCTGGCAGCTGGGCCACCGGCGAGGGGACGGAGAGGGGTGAGCCACTAAGGGCTCCTAGTGGGTCGCTCCAAATGAACGTGGAAAAGAGGTCGTGGTCAGGCAAAGGAGGAAGGGGCGAGGGCGGGCCCCAGGCAAGTCGGCGGGGTGTGGGGGGCGATTGGGGCCTGTGCAGAGGGATCGGGGATGAAGACGCAGAGAGGAGCCCTGTACTCTGGCTGTTGCGCTCTTCTGGGTACGGCTGCAGCCACTAGCAGCAGCATTAGTACAGGTGGGTGGTAGTTGCCAACTTCCCGACAGCACCTGGCAACCTCCCACTATGACAGTTACGCTCCAGGTGATGGAGAGCCGTTCCCCCTAGAGAAAATGGCTGCTTTGGAGGGTGGACTCTCTGGGATTATACTGTGCTGAGATCCCTCCCTCTTCACAAACCCCTCCCTTCCCAGGCTCTGCCCCCCAAATCTCCAGGTATTTCCCAACCCTGAGCTAGAACTTGAAGCAGTGGGCAGAATATGCAGGAAAGAGGGCCGAAGAGGTGGTGAAAGGACTGACTAGTGGATGTGCATCTGTGTCATGCTGTGTTGCTGCTGCGGCTGCAAGGTGGAGGAGGCTCAGTCAGGCTGCTGTTGCTGACAAGGATGGGATGGGGATTATCAAGGCTTGTATTTGCACAAGTCAGTTATGGGGATGGTGGTGCTCCTTGACCCACCAGAGGAGGAAAGACTGTGGTTGTCTGGAGGCTATTCAGGTTTATTTTTTACAAATAAAAAATAAATTTGAACCCATGCCAGTGGGGTAGCAGTGGTAGTCTGCTGTAGCTAAAACAACAGATTCTTTTGGCACCTATTGTGACATTACTTATTGAGAAATAAAGCAGATGCATGAATAGAGATGGGCAATTTCCGGAAATTTTGAAGCTCGGAAAAAACCCCGGGTTTTTTCCAGTTTTTTTGGGGGGGGGAAATGGAAATTTTCGGAAGAATTGAAAAAAATGCTACATTAGCATTTCTTTTGTCTTTTCTAGATAGAAAGTCATTCTGTTACTTTAGGAACATAAAATATGACTATGGACATTTTTACTTGGCATGAAATTATCACAACTAGCGCATTAAAAATATAGTGTATCCAAACAATTATTACAAACATAATACCCACCCACATGCAAAAACAAAACAGAAACCTTTTTATTTTCTTCTGACAATAGCATCTCCTAAAGGAAGAAATGCATTTTGTTCTTGCATTGGAGAGTTCAGTTTGTAACCTACGACTTGCTTGTCCTCGGTGCACAGAAATTAGATCAATCTGATACCATATATATATGAAATGATTTGGAAAATATTTGAACACCTTGTCTTAAAATATTTTATTCATCATGTTAAAATAAAATGTTCCATAATCAATTTCTTCTTCTTCTTTTCTTTTTTCAATTTTTTGGAAAAAATAAAATAAAAAAGGCTTCAGGAAAAAAACGGGGGGGAAATGGTTTTCCCCCCAATTTTTTCCGAGTCTTCACATCTCTATGCGTGAAGTGTCACTATCGGCTGGTGACTGTTTTTCTGTTCACTCCAACTGTATCAGATCTGTGAATGAATTCCACCTCTGTACCTTTGTGCTGAAGTCTTACTAAGAAACTTTTCTGAAGCACTGTAACCTTTAAGTCTGTTGTTGAATGCCCAGGAGAGTTCAATGGCTTTTCCACTGGTTTCTGAGCATTTCCATTTCTAGTGTCTGATTTGTGTCCGTTTATTTTCTGATGGAGTGACTGTGCTATTTGTTCAGTGTAATATTCCATTAGAAGATATGCAGCTGAATGAGCTTCTTGTAGTAGTATGGTTGATGTTGGTCGTGAGATAGGGTAACTTGAGAGAATACAGGGACAGAGCTGATACTGTTTTGTTTTGTTTTTTTTAACGGGTCCTTGTCCATGGGATCTTGAAGCTTGGCTGTAGATAGTGAATCATATGGTATGTTTAGGGTGATAGCGGAGAGCATGAATGTATATAATGATGTGCAAGTTTCCAGTGTACCTGACTTTGCAATAATCCTTTTATTTCTAAAAATAGCAGATAATTGCCACCAGGGAGAATGCCTGAATCAAAATTTCGGGAAGTGTTGCCTAAGCAAGGTGAGTGGTTTTTCCCATCAGTGGTCCCATGAGCCATGTGCATCCAATATACTTCTTAGGTGTACTTCGCTGTAAATCCTAGTTACTTTTGCTAGAATTCCATCTTACAAGATGCAAGTTTTGAAACATTATTGTTAAAAATCTCTCATTTGATGGTTGGGAATTTATTGCATTTTTATACTGCTCTTCTGCTAAGTCTGGCAGGATTGTGTCCAATGCTCCCTCTAAGCTGTGGAGTCTTGTGAGCAAAAATTCTACTATGTGAGCTACTGGCATTAAAGTTGTGAACGAGCGATTTTACTGCTGCATAAATCAGTTTGGTCCGGAACCATTCTTCCTGAGCTAAGACAAAAATGTGTGAGCTGGAGGCTAAAAAACTGTGAGCTAGCTCACACTAACTCAGCTTAGAGGGAACACTGGCTGTGTCCATGGTCTGTCCGTCTCCCTCCCCCCCCAAAATCCAGTTTTATCCTTCCAAAACCCTCTCAAGTAGATTAGGCTAAAAGTGTCCCAAGCCATTCACGGCTCTGAACCTTGATCTGTCTCTGATCCTTCATAGTACATCACGTTATTGTACTCTACTTCTATTATTGAACAATAGTGTCTATGGCACTTTAAAGGAGAAATTAAGGCATGAGCTTTTTTAGGTCAGTCTTCTCTGATCAATGGGGCAATAGTACCTTCTCAGTTTCTCATGTTCACTATTGCTTTAAAAAAGCTTAGAATAGAAAGCAACTGGTTAAGAAATGAATTCATCTATTACCACTGAATGGTGTAAAGTTAACATGGCAATGACAAGAACTTCATGCACATGTGTATGTCATGCAGCTAAACCTATTCTGATGTAAAATTTAAATTTATACTTTTCATGAGGATCAGAAACAATAAAATCACTGCCAAAAATGCTGTGTGCCACAATGAAATTTCTAAGCACCATGATGACCTGTCATTTGGGATTTGTCGAGACCTGCCCTAAGCACTAAAATGTTCATGCTGTGACCAGTCAAGTACACTGCTACTTATTCTTTGTTTTCTGTGTGTGTGTGTAGTTTGATACTGGCAAGGTACTTCAAGCTGCTTAAGATACTTCAAGCTGAGTAACTTAAGCACCACTTGCAGAAGTAGATTTGGCCTAATATACAGAGGGCTGTTTGAAAGATGTGCTTCCACATAGAGGCAGTTGAAACACACTTGTGGGCAGCACTTCATGGGATGGGAGAGATCACATTTGTAACTTGCTTACTATATTGTTCAGTTACTTGTTAAGTCTCATCTCAAGAGGCAAGTTTTTAGGAGTGTACAATGCAGGCATACCTTCTGTGTGGAACAGTGCCCATGAAGGGTGTTTTTTTTTGGGGGGGGGGTGTTCTGTAGTCTATTACATTGGTATCCTGCACTTGTCAGGTACTCAAGTTACCATACAGGTTGCTTTATGCTCTCAGGGTTCCTTGTTAAAGACAGGTCCAAAGTCTCAAGACCACCTGGTGAGCTTTGTGGCTGAATGGAAATTTGAATCCAGATTTCTTCAGTCCTACGAACTGCATCACACAGACTGTGTTTGAACCTGCAGAGTGTGGCATTCATTACTATTGAATGATTTTCTGTTTTTCCTGTTTTAGGTAAGCTAGCAGTGGAAGATGTGACTGCCATGGTGTTGTGCAAGCCGAAGTTGTTACCTCTAAAATCAGTTACTTTAGAAAAGCTTGAGAAAATGCAGCGTGAAGCACAAGAAACGATTAGACAGCAGAATCAGCGTACTTAGCAGAATCACCACAATAATTCAGAATCCATATTTATGTGCATAGAGTGCTCCTGCTGGCAAAGATAGCGATCAAATGTGATGTGAATAGAAATAAGCTCAGTATTATCAAAATGAGTATATAAATAATTGTTATTGCAGCTTGTGTAGCTTGTTTGTAAATGTATAGGACATTAAAATGCTTTAATCTTTTGATATCAGAAATTCAACATTCAGATCAAGCCATAAATTTTTACTAGGGTATAGCAGCACACATCAGACACTTAATTTCCAAAGTAGACTTAATTGTTCAGTAGTGAACGCCTGCATTACCATCTCTATTAACATGCACTTGTATTGTTACTATACTTCCTTTCAACTTAGGAATGAAGATGGTAGAGATATTGCTACATTAGTACTTAGGGACCTCCCTAGCTAAAGCAGAGGTGGAAAGAGCTGGATGGCAGGCTTCATGGAGATCTTATGCCCTATGAAACTAGTAACTCTTCAGGCAAGAGGGAAAGACAGGTGTGCATATAACCACATGCACATTTCAGCAGTAATTGTAGCTAGGAAGTGCTAGCGCTGCATCTGTGCTACAGTAACGAGGGTTTGTTGGCTATTAATGAACACCTGCTTTAGGGTTTGTAAGCTTCTAACCGAACACCAGTACAGATATAATGAGGTCAGGGTCACAACATCGCCTGACTCTCCCTGGTCCGAAAGAAGCCAGGCTGACTATTACCAGAGCTAGGGCTTTCTCAGTGGTGGCCCCACACTGGTGGAATGAGCTCCCAGAGGACATCAGGGCCCTGCGGGACCTTTTACAGTTCCGCAGGGCCTGTAAAACGGAGCTCTTCCACCAGGCTTTTGATTAGAAGCCGCCACTGATGAATGTGCCCTGGAACATCTTCTGGCCTGGGACCCTGTTGGATGCTATTTCTACCATTGGGCTGATTTGGAATACTGCCATCATCTGACCCTGTTGTATGCTGTCTTTATCATTGGGTTGATTTGGAATACTGCCGTCATTAGCTTGTCTTTTTTATCTGTTAACTGATGTTGTTTAATTTTGTACGGTATTTTTAACTTTTAACTCAGTATTGTTCTATGATATTTTAATCCTGTTAACCGCCTTGAGCCAGCGTGTCCGGCAAGGCGGGATACAAATAGAAACAATAAATAAATAAATATAAATAAAATGATTTGCTTGTCAGGAGGGGGAAAATGCAAGAGAATGCACAAGTCTACAGTGTGTTTTCGTTAGATGAGAAATGTCTTCTGGGCTTGTCATGCGTGAAGTTGCCTCTACACTAACTACTTTTTGGTATACAGTTTGCTCCTTGGATTTTATCCATACAGTGTTGAGGTTGGTGGTGAAAGTGCTGTCAAGTCACAGCCTGCTTATGGCAACCTGATAAGAGTTTTCAAGGCAAGAGATGTCCAGAGGTGGTTTGCCATTGCCTGCCTCTCTGCAACAACCCCAGACTTCCTTGGTCTCCCATCCAAGTACTAAACGGCTGGTCCTGCTCAACTTCTGAGATAAGACAAGATCAGGCTAGTCTGGGTCATCCAGATGCAGTTAGCCCATTATAAAACAAGAAAATGGAGGAACATACAGAATCAACAGGTACAGGAAAGGCGGGTTATAAATCGAAAATAAATAATAGTAATAATAATAATACAACTACTTTCAGGACCAGGCCTGCCACAGATGTAATGAATATGAAGAGCTGCCCAAGAAAACAAGGCAAGAATCTGCTTCATAAAAGTTTATTTTGCAATATATTTTATCTACTATTCATTTATCCAGTTTTGTAGAAAAATAGATGTTCCAGCCACCATTTGCTGAAGTAGTCTTTAAGACCAAATCAATATATTCCCCTGGAAAATGAATACATCTTGAATACATCTTATGACCAAACTAAATTTCTTAGATTCTTAAAAAAAAAAATAACTTTTCTTCCCAAAGCACAGTATTTTAACAGCAGCAGCCAAAATAGGGTTCCAGCAGCTTAACTTGGCCCATTCTGTAAAGCTTTGTATAAACCAGTGATTTTATTTCAAAAAACACTGTCCTTGAAAGAAAGGAGTGGCAGGCAGGCAGGCACCAATGCAAAACATGGAATGATTAGGTCAAACCTATGGCACTTACAATAGAGTAGCTTATTTCAGAAAACCTCCACAGAAAGGCAGTTACTTGCTCTGTCCAATTATAAATCCCAAGAAAAGAAAGTTTAGAAGGACTTCCTTTGTGAACACAAAATTTAAAAACCTTCAGACATTTTGTGCCCCATAACATGTATTTTAAGAATAAATGAACTGTGCTAAACAACTCTTACTAAGGAATATATACATATATATTCCCTTTAAACATCTGTGGCTGCAAGAGTTAGTTCACGTATTCAGTAACTTTCAGATTTCAGACGGCCTCCATCTCCTTCACTTACGAAACGTTTCCTTCCCCTAAAATTAAATAAAAAATAAGTTTTAGTTTATTTCTATCCTTAGGTATGGCGAGGTGCATGACTGGGAAAAGTTCTATAGTTCTCCATTGGTAAAAACATGTGCCACAAGTATTTAAAAAAAGAGGCATACACATAGGTTACATGTATTTGTTGCTGTAGCAACACAAAGCATGTAGGTTTTGGCACTGTAATGAGAAAAAATATGGTACATCCAGAGGAATAAAAAGCAAAAGCTACATAGAAGCCCCTTAACCCTGGAAACAGAAGACTAGACAGAAATTCTAGGATGACTGATGATGGAGACTGAACATTTGTTAAAGCTTTGACAAATGTATGTTTGATTACTGTACAGTAATCTAGGAATTAAGGAGCTGCGGTGGCTCAAGTGGTTAAGACGCTGAACTGCAGGCTGTGGAAGGTCGGTAGTTCAGCAGTTCGAGACCCGAGTGCTGCATGACGGAGTGAGCTCCCGTCTCTAGTTCCAGCTCCTGCCAACCTAGCAGTTCGAAAGCAAGAAATTGCAAGTAGATAAATAAGGTCCACTTTGGTGGGAAGATAACAGCGTTCCGAGCCCCTTGGTTAGTCATGCCGGCCACATGACCACGGAAACGTCTTCGGCTTTGAAACGGAGATGAGCACCGCAGCCCTAGAGTCGGACTCAACTGGCTTTCGAGCAAGGGAACCTTTACCTAATCTAGGAATTATCCAGCAAAGCTTTAATAGCATGTTACTCTAAAATGATTCAAAGAGCTATAATTTTCTCACCCACGCCCTTTATTTCTAATCATCCATACAGAAGTGGAAAGGAATCAAAAGTTTCTACAGACTGGAAGACAGACTAGCAATGTATGCAAGACTAGTAAAGCATAGAGAAGCAAATATACACATGCACCATCTCTCTTCCCTACAGTGATCTTCGGGGGGGGGGGGGTAGGCCCCATACAGAGCCTCAGAAGGTAGTGATCTAATATCACTATACATTTGGTTTAGAGGATGCTCCCTTGCTATTCATCCAATTTGACTGTCCCCTTCTTGTTAAGGTGACATGTGTTGCTGTGCAAGAGACAAAACAATTCATCTGCCAGCTGGAACTGGCAAAATTTCAACAGTAAATCAGTTAGAAATCTGTATCCCTTGTGGTTAACATGCTGCAGATATCTCTGAAACAAAGTTTTTCTTACATACCTGGAAGGACAGAGGTCTCTCAATGGTTTGGAGATTATTCCCGCTTTAAAGCATTCCTCTACAAACCGTTCAAGCACAGAGTATGAATGTGGCACATCAAGATTAATGTCTGGGATTTCACGGTAAATTCGTTCATAGCCCTGCAACAACAGAAGGGGGGTGGGGGACTTAGCATTCAGCTCAGGAATTATGACTCTCTGCTCTTAAAACTGTCACAGTAAACATCACAAAGTTAATACTCACTGCAACTTCCCAAATTTGGTTATGGTAAAGCAAAGAAACATTTTATGTAGATCAAATAGCAAGAGACTGGGGAGTAAAAGCTTTGAGCTACTACAGAACAGCACAATGAGGGCAAATGGCAATTGAATAACTACTTTCCCTCCCAGCTGTGAAAAGGAGGGAACAAAGTCACCTTGTTTTTATTGACTGGGAAAAAGCTAAGTTGATACAGTGATCTGAGCTAGGAACAATCGGAGAAAACTCGTACTACTGCCTGCGTCTTCCAAGGAACTCTGCTTTACATTTGAGAATAGTGCTTTTATATAAATTAAATATACTTTTTAAATGATTACATGTTAATAGGCAGTCTTGAGGTTATCGTTAAGCCACCCCAGGTAGGTTCTCTGGAGAGGCAGCATAAAAATTTTCTGAATAAATTTTGATTTTCATCTGTCAGAAAACTGTGATTAGCATTTGAAATTTCCAGCCCTACCTCTCCAAATAACAAACATTCTCAAATATATATTATATATTTACAACATTTCCATGCTGCCTTTCCACCTAGATAGGGTCTTTAAGCCAGCGAACATCAACACATTGAAACATTAAAGCAGCTTTTAATATAAGGTATATAAAAATATTTTTTAAATTTAGTAAAAACAGAGGAACATACCTACCACAATCAGGGAAGAGGGCCAATAAGAGTAACTTGGAGTACGCCAAACAAAAGTCTTCAGATACTGGCAGAAGACAACAAATTTGCCCAGGGAGGTGGTTCTAACATTTCAGTGCCATGACTGAGAAGGCCCTTTCTTAGGTTGCCACCCATCTACCTTCAGATGGGGAGGGCACCTAAAGCCGGGCCTCCAAAGCTGACTGGAGCAGACAGGTAATAGAAAAGCCAGACCTAGGTATTATCTAATCAAACTCTATGACAAACCAGTTAAATGCTATATGGTGAGCACAAATCTAACCCACAGGTATTAGCTGTCACATCATGATAGGGAACATTTGGAAATCTGTCAATCATACTTACTCTCTTCATTTGGTCCATAGTAATGACAGCAGATTTCCAGAGGGATTTCAGCAAATTGAGCATCATTTTAAAGTTTTCTTCTCCAGTTGATTCCAAAACCATCACAACCGCCTAAAATGCAAATACAGATAAAGGGAGCATGGAGTGAAAAACAGTGTAAAGGCACTTGTGTTAACAAGCACTGAAAGTAACTGTATTGCAAAAGCAGGACAGATGCTATGTAACATACAAGAAGAAACTATCCTCCAACCAAAACCAGTAGCGACTGAAGACTTGATGTTATGCAATTCTACACTTTACTAGTCAGAATCTATTTTTTAGCAATTACACATTTGAATCTATAAAAATACAATGCAAAACCAAAAGGAGATTACAGCATGGATCCTATGCTCTGCAAGTGCTCACATAAGGCAACTTTCCAGCCTTCCCCCTTCCACTGCTATCTGCTATGTCACCAAAATCCTATTGCCTAGGGGTTTGTGTGAAGCCGAAGTCCGTCATGGGAAGAAGGAATTGATCAAAATCACACACACCCTTCAGATGGTGTAAGTGCCTTCCCTCAGAGGAAAATGCAGTTAAAACTCAAGCAGTTATTTTGAATTAAACAGCTGTCATACACAATATTTAAATGATGGAACAATCAGTAAAGTGTTTTGAGAATGTCTGTGGACAGTGAAGGAAGCAGCATTATTTTTGCCCTACCAGACATTTTATTAGGGGTACACTGGTTGCAAAATGGACAGCTTACCTAGTTTAACATACAGCAAACACTAAAGCAGGTTGCTTACCAGTAACTGGTGATCTTTGAGTGATCATCTGTGCATTCACACCAATGGGATTCAGTGCGCACGTGCTGGATCGATCGGTGCTGTAGCAAGCTATTTTAACGGATTTTCACGCCCAGCCCCCAGGGCATGCGCAGGAATGAGCCCTGACAGGGCCAGGTAATGGCTGTTTGGCGAGTAGGTAACACAGATGGATTAGACCTACAATCCACTTTGACAGGCGCTGGGCCGTGATGTGAGTGCCCAGACGTGGTGAAGCGTACGAGACGAATAGTTGTGAATCTCGTCTAGTTGGGCACGTTCTGGTGAGATAGAACAGGAGAGCCCAATTCACGTCCAAGGTGTGGAGTAGTTTGTCTTCCGCTGATGTTGGATTTGGGAAGAAGTCAGGGAGGAAGACCTCCGCCTGCAGGTGGAACTCTGACACCACCGTCGGCAGGAAGGAGATGTCCGGGACAAGGCGGACTCCGTCCGGCAAAAAGAACAGGTAAGGTGTATCGTGCCGGAAAGCCAATATTTCTCCCACTTGCCTGGCTGAGGTAATTGCGATTAAAGGCCGTTTTCCACGCTAGGAGTTTAAGTTCGCATGTTGCGAGTGGTTCGAAGGATCTCCTCGTGAGCTGGCGTAGAACCAGAGGAAGGTCCCATGGAGTGGCTGGAGATTTGACCAGAGGATAAAGGTGAAGTAAAACTTTTAAAAAACGTTTGGAGATTGGATGTGCAAACAGAGTACATCCGTCAACAGGAACATGAAAAGCCGAAAGTGCGGCTAAATAAACTCTTAATGAGGAGTGGGAAAGTCCCAAGTCAGCTAAGGATAGAAGGAAATTGAAAACTTTTTCGAGGCCAGCTGAGATGGCTCGAGGGGCGTCCTTTCCCAGAAAAGCACAGAATTTTCTCCATTTATAGTCATAGGACTTCCGAGTAGTAGGCTTCCTGGAATTTAAAAGGACGTTTACTACACACGTGAGGAGAAGCCTGTGATGTTATCTGCCATGCCGTCAGTTTCAACTGTGGTATGTTGTGATGAAGGATGGGTGAATCTGAGAGAATGAGTAGGTCCGGGGCCAGGGGGAACTGATGGTATATCCCCCTCGATAGTTCGAGGACCGCTGAAAACCAAGGTTGTCTTGGCCACCATGGCGTTATGAGGATACAGTTCGCGTTGTCCTTGAGTATCTTCCGGACCACTCTCAGAAGCAGAGGTAAGGGGGGGAACAGGGAAAGATGTGTTGAGGACCAAGGATAAAGCAGGCCGTCTCCCAGAGACTGTGGGTCGTTGCGTCCTCGACTGCAGAATAGAGGACACTTTTTGTTGATTCTTGTTGCAAAAATGTTGACTCGGGGAGTTCCCCACCTGTGGTAGAGTGGGAGGAGGTATGTTGGGTTCATCTCCCACTAGTGAAGGCTGAGTCCTGCTCGACTTAGATGGTCTGCCTCCATGTTCGTGCGTCCCAGGATGTGAGTGGCCACGAGGAATATGCCGTTGGTGACGCAAAACTCCCACAGATTGAGTGCCAGGGTGCAGAGGCATAGAGAGACGGTGCCCCCGTCTGTTGACGTAGGACACTGCCGTGGTGTTGTCCGTTAGGACCGTGATACATTTCCCTTTGATTAAGGGGAGGAAACTGGTTACAGCATATTGTATGGCCAGGAGTTCGAGGAGGTTTATGTGACGGTTTCTCGTATGTGTGCACCCCACCCCATCAGGGAAGCATCGGTCGTGATGGTAACCTCGGGTGACGGAGGGTGGAAGGGTGCTCCCTGAAGGAGATTCGAAGGGACAGTCCACCACAGTAAAGTGTCCTGTATACTGGAAGGAGGTGATAGAACGACAGTGTGGACGTTCCTCGACAGGTCGTAGTTGCGAATGAACCATAATTGCAAGGGACGCATCCTGAGTCTTGCAAAGATGAGAACCGACGTCGTCACTGCCATGAGACCGAGCAGCCTCTGAATTTGGAAGGTGGTGACGGAAGGTTGGGTACGGATGATGGTGGCTAGGGAAATGATGTTTGCGGCCCTGTCTGGAGGTAGGTAAGCCATACATGTGTTTGAGTCCAGGATAGCGCTGATGTATTGTATCCGCTGTACAGTACACAGGTGAGACTTTGATTGATTGACCTTTAGGCCCAGGTTGTCCAGTAGGGACAGAGTTTCTGTCACGTTCGAGAGCAGGGCGTGCCGTATTAGAGCCACCAGAAGCCAATCTTCTATGTAAGGGTAGACGGACACCCCTCTGAGTCGTAGAAAGGCTGCAACCACAATCATGGTCTTTGTGAAAACTCTCGAGGTACTGGAGAGGCCAAATGGAAGGGCCGTATATTGGTAGTGCTGTTGGCCAACTGCAAAGCGTAGGTATTGGCGGTGGAAGGGGTGGATGGTAAGGTGGAAATATGTGTCCTGGAGGTCTAGGGTGGCCATCCAGACGTGTCTGCGAAGTAGTGGCATGATCTGTTGAAGGGAAACCATGCGGAAGCGGTGGTAGGTTACAAAATGGTTCAGTTGCCTGAGGTCTAATATGGGTCGAACGCCTCCGTCTCTCTTCGGGACCGTGCAGTATCGGGAGTAAAATCCCGTCCCCTGGAGGTGTGGTGGAACATGTTCGATGGCTCCCTTCTGCAGAAGGATGGACACCTCCATGAGGAGAGGTGGGGAAGGGGGCGTGGAGACGACGACCGGAGTGTTGGGGTTCTGATGGAACTGGATTTTGTAACCTCAGGTCAAGATGGAAAGGATCCAGTTGTCTGAGGTGATGAGACGCCAGGCATGGATAAAAGGAAAAAGACGAGTGTGAGCTGACTTGGTGGCAGGAAAGTCAAAAGCCCTGCTTGGAGGGCTTGGGCTGTTTGCTGCGGGAAGCCTGTTGTCCGGAACCGAACTTTGGTCTTTGGTAGGTTGGTTTTTGGCCTCTCGAAGATGTTCTTGGTCTCCACCTTGTGTCCGGAGACTGATGAGTTTGGGTGCATCTCTGCCAGGACCTGGACCAGGTGCAAGGGCAATATTGTTGCCTCGCAGAGGATGAGACTCCCAGTGCTCGAGATGCTTCAATGCTCTTATCCAATTCTTGTAGGGTAGTCAGTTGCTGCATTGAAAAGCCCCAGACCATCAAAGGGGAAGTCTTCCACATATGATCTGGTGTCTAATGGGAGAGTGGTGTTGCGAAGCCAGGAATGTCTTCTGAGTGCTATCGCAGAGGCCATGGTTCTAGAAGATGCCTTGGGGACATGTTTGGTAGTGTTGAGCTGTTGTTTTGCCAACACCATGCCTTCCTTTTGTAAGTGTCTGGCTGCCTGGAGTTTGTCTTCTGGTAGGTGGAGTTTGTCTTCTGGTAGGTGGGTCAGAAGTTCAGAAAACCGTTCCCAGAGAGTATGCTGGTACCAGTTCATACAGGCCAGGTAGTTAGTGGCCTTTACTCCCAATGCCCCTGTGGAATAGAAGCGCCTGCCGAATGCATCTAATTTTTTTTCTTCCTTATCCGAAGGTGTTGAGTGCATTTTCTTGGATTTTGACGAAGATGTTATAACCATGGAGTTTGGCTGAGGGTGTGAGAATAAAAACTCGGCCTCGGGCTCTTGGACCCTGTACATGTGGTCCAGTTTCCTTGTTGACACAGGAGATGACGGTTTGAGCCATGGAGACTTTGCTGCCTGTAAAAGGACTGAAGACATAGGCAATGCTAAGGTGGAAGATGTATCCAGCTGTACAACATCGTATACTGAATCAGTTGCTTGCGGATTTTGTTGGACGACAGAGAGGCCTAAAGAGTGGGCCATTCTTTTAATTAAATCAGTGTACGAAGTGAGGTTGTCGGATGGAGATATAGGTAAATCCTCGGCGACATCCTGATTTGGAGATGCATGGTCAGGGGAGGTGTGAGCCTCAGAAGCCTCTGTATCTGAATCATCGTCAATAAAATCAGAAGAATTGTGATGTTCTGTGTGGACCGAAGTATCTTGTTGGTACACTATGGGTTTGGTTTGGGCGACAGGAATGACAGGTTTTGGTTCCACAGTGTGATGGGACGGCTTTGGTTCCACGGTGTGATGGGACGGCTCAACTGCAGGAGGACTGCAGGAGGACGTGAGATGCTGAAGGCCTTGTCTTGAGACCTAGACCTATGAGCAGAGCGAGAGGAATAGCGATTCCACTCAGAGTAGCCCGCAGGAGTCAGCCACGGCATGGATGGAGGATAAGCCCCATACAGGTAACGCAACTGTCTTTCATCCCACGCCATTGGTGGAGGGGGGGCATGAAGACTCTTGGGGAGCGACTTCTGGTCCGTGGACATCTGGGAGACAAGGTAGTGGCGTGTCTGTGGGAGTCGTCCCTGTAGTCGCGGGGGTCGATATCGACAGACTGAGTGTGCAGACGTGGAGGGTGACGCTGCGTGTCAGGTAAAGTATATCGGTGCCGACGTGGATCGATGTCGGGGGTTTCTGATACTGTCGATGCCGACGAAGTCGAAGGAGCAGGAGAAAGCTCTGCACCCATTTGGTGACTGAGGAGTTCTGCCGTGTCGATGTCGGAATAAGGAGGCTCCGCTTGGTGGACAGGGGAGTCCAATACATGGATGGTCGGTATCGGCAGAGGAACTTGGGCCTCCCATATCAATACTGCCGGTGGAGCGGGAGGCACTATAGGGGCATCACCCAGTGCAGGCACCGCTTCCTTCCCCTTCTTCGCCGCCTTAAGGGACTTGGAGGTGCCCTTCTTCGCGGACTTATGTTCCGTACCTGCCTTAGCCTTTTTCTTAATTGGCGTAGAGGCGGACGATCGTGTCTTCGATGTCGAGGGCTTCGGTATCGGACGGTTGACATCGGAGGCAGGTCTCGATGCCGGAGCTGTCGACGTGGACGGTCCCTCCTCCATCGCCGGGACAGGAGCAAGGGCGGATTCCAGCAGCGCTACTTTAAGGCGTGCGTTTTTTCTCGTCTGGTTGGAGAAGCGAGCACAGTGACGACAGGACTCTGGCTTGTGAAACTCTCCAAGACAAAAAATGCAGAGGGTGTGGCGATCTGGAGGAGCTAGTTTGCTACCACAGCGTCTGCA